TCAGTTTAGTTCATGTGTAGAGTCTGTATAATCAATATACATGGTTTTACTTTGCTGTTTTAGGCATTATTAATAAGAAAGACCATGGACAACAAGAGACAGGTCTCTTGTTAATGAACTGTGGAGGTGTTCAGCTGTTGGTCATAATTTTAAAACATGAATAGCTCAACTGGAATTTTATAGTTGTTTCTGCAAAAAGGATTTTTAGGAGCTTCTACTTAAAATCCATGAGTATTATATCTTGCTTTCTTGTAACAAAGCACTACCATACTTTCTGTTAGATTGGTGGTCTGAGTCCTAGGATTCAGAGTGTCTTTATTATGTTTTTGTGTACATAAATACCTTTCCAATGCAGATATAGATTTGGCCTATAAAGCAAGAATCATAATTCTCACTATAAACATGTTAAATCTCAGCTGCAGTAGACAAGGAGATGTAGTGAAGTAAATATAAGTATTGAACATGACTCTTTATTATTTTGCATTCTGCTCTATGATATTTTCGAAAAGTCTTTATGGGGTTGCCAACACTGAGGTATGATAATTTAAGAGAAAAAATTATAAAATATTTTAGACGCAAGTGCTTTTTAGTGTCACCTCCTTCTTGGAATATTCTTGTATTCATTTGTGCAGCAGTTTTATTCTTATGAATGTAGAAACAAATTAAGAGCCAGGGTAAAGTCCAGGTGGCTTTGGGGTTCTTGTCCAAAATAATCTTTAACTTCATTTCTCATTCTTCTCAGCAGTGTCTCAGCCGAAAAACCATGTAAAATAAATTCACCTAATCTTTCAGGTTTTTTTAGGAATCTGTAGTTCTTGTTTTACTGTGCCTTGAAGAGCTGGACACCAAAATATATCTCAGTGGTTGAGAATTTTGAGACAAAGCATAACTTACATGTGCTTTCAGCAGCATGGACTTCAATATGCTGCAAAGTAGCCAGAACTGTTTCCATTCAGAAATGTGGCCACTCTGTAGAGCACCTGAGTAAGGAGTAAGAATTGTGGGTTGTCCTCAGTCTGATCTCCTTCCTTTGGGAGTAATGTCCTAATCGCCTGATTAGCAGAGTCGCCTGTAAATTTGAATCATTTTACTACTAAGCAGCAAGGATATTTGTGTCCTTAACACATGATATTAGGAAAAAGCTCCTCAATATGAGGGTGGTAGATCACTGGAACAGGTTGCCCAGTGAGGTAGTGGAGGCCCCATCCCTGGAGATATTCAAGGTCAGGCTTGATGGGGCTCTGAGCAACCTGGTCTGGTAACAATGTCCCTGCTCACTGCAGGGAGGTTGGACTGGGTAAGCTTTAAAGGTCTCTTCCAACCCAACACATTCTATGATTCTATGAATTTTTCTGATGGGCTACATTGAGGCAGCAGGATGTTCTGCTGAGTTACTGAATGCTTGGGTGTATTTCCCATTTTGTAGTGCATGACAATTTTCGGTCTAGCAAAATTTTTCCACTTATGGAAATATGTGGTTGTCACTTCTGTAATTATGGTTAAGCAGTAGTTAATGCTTGCTTTGTCCAACACGTTGTGGCTGACTGCAGTTCACATCTATGAAAGTGTTTGCATGTTGTTTTATTCTTCTTTAGTCTATAATGGAGGACTTTGAATTGTTCATTTGTAAAAGCTCAGTATGTTAATAAATGATGGTGTTAACTATCTTTTCAGCATAAAACACAGATAATAGAGTCCTTTTATGTGTGCGTTTGAGTGAACATTTTTAATTCTCTTTTTTCTTTACTAGGAAAACGTTCTCTGTAGGATTTAATTTTTTTACTAAAAACTACTAGCTAGAAGCTAATTTGAAGCCTCGGGAGTCAGATGATAACAAAATAGGGTAAAAGGCAACAAATATAATTGCTTGTCTGCTGTTTATAGATTATCTAAAGAACAGTTGTGAGGTTGACATGCAGTTTCTGAGTGGCAGCTGTGAATTTGACAATTATCTTGTCCATTTCCAAAAACTGTGAGCATCAGCAACTGTTGGCATACTCGGGAAAATGGTATTGCCTGTTTATCTGTTTTCCTTTTTAAAGATTATCACCATCTCTGCTGTGTCTGGAAACTGTCCTAAATGAAAACTTCAGTTTTTGTAAAATGTATATCTTGCTTCAAAAGCCAAGGTTTTTTTTTCACTTGCCCCCCACCCCCAGGTATTTTGTACGTTTGACATTCAGTCATGACTGCAGAATACAGCTGAACATGTAACAAATAGTGATGTGAGTAACCTTCGCTTTGATAATAAAATCTGAATGATCGCTACAACCACACCCCATAAAACAATAAATTTTCATAAATGATAAATTAAATAGAAGCAAAATGGCCAGTCTCACAAGGACAGACTGAATGTGGAGAGACCTTTTCATTCCAAGGTACGTCAGCTGGGTTATAATTAGCACACTGTATTCAGCTATAAAAATTCTTTACCTTTAAGCCAGTGACACTCAAAGATGTGAATTTTTTTCCTACCTTTGAAAACATCAAAGAAAGTGCTACCAATCTAGCTTTTACAACTGAAGGTTCAGTAATTGGTGTAAGAAAGGAGCAAATGCATCAACAGGCATGAAGAGTATTGATCTCTGAAAGGACTCTGAAAGAGTTGATAATATCAGATTTAATTGTCAATAATTAAAAATGCATCTACATACATCAACACCAAATGCCAGTTATACTTTCAGCAACATGTAAGAAAAATGGTGGACTTGAAATAATCAGAATCAACTTGGAGATTTTAGTTACCCATTCAGTAGTGTGATGATCCTGACATATTTTAATTTGACTTTGAAAACTGGTTTGTGGAAGGTTAGCTGTGATTACATGTAGGCTACAATGCATTACTTTTTCTATCTTGTTATATGTGTTCATAGAATGTTTTCGTCTCTTTGAAAGATCTAATTGATATATCAAGAAACACTTTTAAAAATAAGATTGGCAATACTACAGACAAAACAGCCCAATTTAAAGCAAATCATAGAACCATTCTTGTTCCATGTCCTTGTTAAAACATACTTAAAAACATGGTGATAACTTAATGTGCTAAATGAAGTGATTCTGTCCTAATACAAGAGAGCTCATTACAAATGAACTTTTCTAAGTAGTTAATTTCCATGGATTGACAACATAATCAGGATGCAGGTCATGGTTCTAGCAGAAGATAGATGTAGAAGCTATTCTATATGCTTCTTCTATATGCTATCTATATGCTTTCTTTGATCTGCTCTGTTGTCTTAGGAGAAAAGTTCAGTGGGTGAGGAGGCAGCCAACACACGCTTTTAGTTCCATTTTTTCCATCTACTTGGTGTTTGGTTTTTTTGGTTTTGTTTTTATTGGTTTTTTGTTTGTTTGTTTGTGGGGTTTTTTTGGCATAGTTCTTTTTTTTTTTTTTTTTGCATAGTCTGGCTTCACTGTAACAGCAAACAGGTGTAGTTATCTGCCTGTATATCTAATACTTGTTTTACTAAAAGTGTAGAGAAAAAGCAGTGAAACGGTTCATAGAAGAAGCATGATAATTGAGTGGAAGGTATCAGTTGAGAAGAACTAGTGTTTCATCTATGGTGTGAAAAATGGCGCTGTGTCTCTTTCTGTTGCCTGCAACTTCCTATTTTATTTTCCTTGTGTATTATACCATAAGATTGGATTGAGTCCCATGTCTTAGATCTGGGACCAGCCAGGGATGAAATAGGATCATGTATAGTATGCAGTCAAAGCTGTAGGAAGGTAGCTACTGGCTGCTTAATATTGGGCTCATTTGCCCAAAGCTGCATCTACTCACTTTTGCAACCTTCTTTCATCTCTTCAATCTAGACACTGAATTGATTAATGCAAAAAGGTAAATGGACTAGAAAACTCATGTCTAACGATGGATTGTTGACAAACCTCAAGAGAATCTTCCTCATCTATGCACTGAGGATGAGAACAGCATATCATATGCCTTTGAAAAATTTACATTTTTGTCTAGAGATGGGAGGAGGTTTCTCCATGTAGCTACTGATAGTAAAGTTGTGACATATGCTTTAAACTATATTGTGTCCGTGTGAGATGATTTGAAAGTTGCACAACTTTCTTTTAGAAGTACTGGCTATGGAAGCCTATTCTTATGAAATTACAAGTATTATTCTTTTAGCCTTGCTGTTATCTTGAGCAAATTTATTAGGGTTATAGTGCATATACTTAGCTGTGCTGCCCATATCCACTGATTATGAATATGCTGATTCTCATAGACAGAACTAGAGATGAGGACTGATTTCTTGTATTCCTTCATGTATAGCACAAAACTGGTGAATCATAGGTAAAAAGTGTATGTCAGGATGACAGCTGCTGAACTGGAAGAGGTTTGCATCAAAGCTTTGAGTCTTATGATTTAAGGATTTTATGATCCTTCAAAAAGGATGCACAATGTTGTATATGAAGAACTTGGAGGTTTGAAGCTAAAGCACTGGAAAGTGTGCGTACATCAAGGTCCCTGTTTTTTTTCTGAGTATATATGCAGAATGACCACTACAATGACATAAGCACTGTTTGTTATGTGTGATCACTGTATGATTCAATATGCCAAATGGATGGCAAATGGAGGAAGGATTTTGAGAAGCTCTCTTCTAACAGTAAGGGTAGCATCTTGGGAAGTTGGATGGCATTCTTTTTTCTGACAGATTTGGATGGGATGTCAAAGAGTGCTCAAAAGAAAAAGAAAAGGATGTGTATATTAGCACTGACTAAAAGATTCCATACGCAAGCCTAGGTTTGGTCTCACACAGCTTTTAAGTAACTGATGCTGCAACAATGTCCATCTAGTATGTGTAAAAGTTGCTAGATTGCTAATTAATGGCAGATTTTGCCTTTAAAATATGGGATGGATTTCAGCTGAAGGAAACCATAAGGAATATGGTTTAATATGTTTTGGAATAGATTAGGTCCACAGAGTTAAAATGGCTTTCTATTGCAAATTCTGATTGGTTTTAATCTTAGGTTGGTTTTTTTTGTTTTCTGTTTTACAGTGTTATGTGGGAACCAATGGGAGATGGTAAAAAGATTATTTCGCTGGCTGATAATAACATATTATTGTGGGATTTGCAGGAAAGTTCAGCCAAAGCTATGGTAAGGAATATTTTTTATAACAAATCATTATACACTTCAATATAGTACAAACAACAACATTCTCTAGCCTAGAATTTGCTAATCTTTTAACTACCTCTTTAGAAATATCTTGTTGCCTTTAACTTGGGTGGGGGAAATGAATACTTTATCTGTTGTCTTGAGTAGGAGTGTTTGAATAGGCAACTTGGTATTTTGTATCTGTTGCTAGTGGTCAAATGTTTTCCTTTTTCTAGAGTTGCCCTTACTCTCCTACTAGTTTTACAGTGAATAATCTCAAATAAAGCAATGCTAATTTGTTAAATGTGTATAAGGGAAAAATTGATGATTGGTAAAGCCAAAGGTTAGTGAATTCAAATAATAGTATTTTAATTCATGTTGGTTAATACCATGCAACGCTTTATTTAATCTGCAACCCTTGTGTGTGTAAGCATCATATAAATTTCTTTATTTTCTGTGTACTGCTTTGAGTTCTCAGTGTGAGAATCTTGTAATGAATTCCAAATTCTTTGGTTTTTTTTTTCTCATTTTATTTTGCTTGGTATTTTTAATTAAAATTTTGCATATTGTGTTTTCCTTTTACTATTCCTTTCCTCAGAACTAACCTCCTCACTCTGTCACACAAATGTGTGTGACTTTAGAATCACAGAATGTGTTGGATTGGAAGGAACCTTTAAAGCTTATCTCATCCAGTCCAACCATCTAGTTATCACCATGTTCAAGGAGTGTTTGAAATAATTATTTCTTTCTGTTTCTGTCCTGTTTGTAAGGGGATGTTAAATGCAAAATATGTTGTAACCATAATAAGTACATATGTTGAGTTTGTTTTTTTTAAAATGCTTTTTGGTCAAAATGTAAAACCAGACTTTTCTGACATATAAATAAAAAGAGCTTTTCGACATTGAAAACAGGTACAGAACAAAAAAAAGCACAGCAAAAAAAAAGAAAAAAGCAACTCTCACCAACATTAAGAAGGGGCCATGTAACTTTTTTTCATTTCTTTTTTTTTTAAAAAAAAGAGGCTTTCTGAAGAGAGACCATGGAAGCCGTTCACTGACGTCAATTGATGCTATGTAGAGGATTCTTGCCAGGAAGTTCATATTTGCTTTATATGCAGATACACGGAGAGATTATTTAAATTCTAAGAAACATAGTGTTTATTGTTCATTAGATAAAAGGTTGTCCATTTTTGGCATCTTAGCCATCTGATGTCTTATCACTTAATATGCAGTTTGGTTCTAGCAGACAGTGACAAAGCAGTAAGTAGCTAGTAAACTTCTATATTCTGTAGGGACTGTTAAGGGGGAAAAGTCTTTATAAAATATTCCCATTGCTATAAACTTCTAAGTGAAATAACCATGTAAGTGTGTGTGTACATTATTCGGTTATTTTAAGTTAATAAATCAGTAGCCTAGGATTAAGATAATTAAAAAGTCAATATGAATTTTTCTCCTCTGTGTCAAAAACATGGTGCTGGTCAACTTGAATAACATCATCATTAACTAAAAGTAGGATTTGGTCCATGTCCCTGTATCAGGTAATACAGAGGTAAGGATGTATTCATTACGCTGATGCAGCACTGGTTTTCTTGTTCGAAGACCACATTTAAGTTGCTTCCTTTTTGGATAGGTGTGCATTATAGGCAATATTAGTTTTAATGGCAAGAGGTCAACCAATGCTACTCTTTATGGACTTTTCTTGTTTATTAAAAAGTTCATCATTTCATTGGTGAAAAAATAAAAATATAGATGACCAAAACTTCTGCTTGCCTACATTGATCAAAACTTCAGTCTTCTGTTGGGTGCATCTCTTCTATCTGCCTGGGAGTTACAAGTTGCATTGTTTGATTAGAATTAGCCTGAAGAATTTTAGAGTTCCTGATCTTTTTGAAGCTTTGTAATACAATTACTGATGTGATCGTTCTGCGTTAACTGGTCAACCTGTCATGGGAAACATTTACTAGCTATTACTTATTATACAGTTCTGTGGGTTTAAGTTTTTTTTTTTTCCCCCTTTCAAGATTTTTTGCTAACTTGTTTGCTCCTTACAGTATTTAACACAGGAATATTTGCCTGTATATGCATTAAGAAAAGCTTCTCCTGTCCTGTTGATCACTCCCTTTGTTATTGTTTTGAGGACATTACCTTCTGGGGTGAAACTAATCTTACGCTCACTGCATCATTACCTTTTGCAATTAAATTAGCTATTCTTTTCCATTAATAATCATTAGCTGAATCCAAGAGAAGCCCAACCAATCCATAACGTCTGGATAGATTGTGCTGAAAAGATGAGAGTTAGTATTTCTGCATACAGACTTTACATCTGGTGTCACCAAATCGCTGGAACTCTTCCTTGGGTAAATGCAGTATGTTTGGAGTAGCAGGTGACTGCGGTAGAATGAAATGAAGATGTTAAAATATAAGTATTTTTCTATTTGACTTATATTTTTTGAGTTAGAGGTGTGGGTTTGATCATTTATATCCAAATGGTTAACTAGAGTCCTTTTAGATTTCTTGTCCCTTCTGGATTCTTTAGCAGCATTTAACATATAGGTGATTTTAATTCAGAACAACAGAAAATATCTGGCAGCGGCATTCCAGGCAAAAAGGAAGATCTTATAGGGAAGATTTCACAGTCTATCTGCATAAAAGCAATATATCCAATTATAGGTGAATGTTAGGAGGAAGCAAGAGATGCTTTCTTGACAAGATAGCTGCTGTTCCTCAAGGCAGGAAATACATTGTAGACTTTAGTGGAGAACTTTGTAGAGTGCGCTGTAATTACTGCAACTAGAATAAACATAGATTAATTAAAGAAGGGCAAAACAAAAACTGTCTGAAGAAAAATGAAATAGAAATTGCTGAATGAGAAAGAGGATAGAAAATCAGTTCTTAAAGGGTTGGTGTTGGGATCAATTTTGTTTAATCATCTCATTAGGCATAGCAAAGAAGGAGGAGTGAAATGATGAAAATTGCTGATGACAACAACTTGGAACACATCATCAGTATATAAGAGTAACAATATATTTGAGAGGATGAACTAGCTGCTCTTGCCATTTAGTTTAAGATTTGTAGTATAAAGGATGAAACTTTTAAGGAATAAACATATTTTCTTGCTGTGAGGTAGAAACTCAGCACTTAAAAAACATGTAGATTCTGTTACTTAGCTATTCTGAGAATGACTCTCAGCTGCCAGTCTGAGGCTGTTTGAAATGGCAGACGATTGTAAGATGATTCTGGAGAAAAGAACAGTCATGAAAGGACTATGAGGTGTGGTTGCCTGCAACAGGAAGAATTGAACTCAATGAATTTAAAGTCCTTGTCAATATTTCTGTTTCTGTCAATAACAGGCTAGAACAACACTCATCCCTTCTTAATGAGGATCTCAAAATAGTCTTTCAATGGCTTTGTTACTGTGGTTTTTACAAGAACAACTCCTTGAGGCTGTCTTGAGGTCTCCACACAACCTCTAGCGTGCATAGAATTGTGGTCTGTTTTCAGTTGCTGACTGAACAACATTTATTGAAGGTTACTGGTAACCATTTATACATACTAAGAAGTGTAGCATTTACTTTAATTTGATACTTTTTTTGTTTAACCAGTATCAATTGTATCATTTCTAAATTAATCATATTAGAGCATTGGAACATTCTTAGGAGATATTTTCTAATGGTTTGTGTCAAAGTCTGTCTGAGGGGAAAAAAAAAAGATGTTACAAATGCATGACACATTGATTATTTTTAGTCATTCATTCCTTCAGTAACAAAAAGCCAATCAAGTTGTGCGTATAAAGATGAAATGTGAAGATAGTGTAGTGAGTGAACAGAACTACATGTTTCCAGGTACTATTTAATTCAGAAGTTTATGGAACTTTAGAATTGATCCTCTCGCATTGTTTTTCAGAGTATGTTGTGAGAGAAGAAAAGCACAGCCCCCACAGCAGAAAAGCTGATAAATTCTGCCATTTGTCTGTTTTGTGCTGCACAGTTGTAAGAGTGGTTACACTGGTCTCTATCTGAGTCCATCTAGCCCCAGTGTTCTGCTTGAAACAGTGGCCACAGCAGACTCCAAGGAAAGTTTCAGTGGAGCAAATGTGTTGGATACTTTGCCCTTAACACTTGGGCAGTCTTCCACACTTTTCAATCCAATGAATTTTCTGAGCCTCGTTGGGTTAGTAACCCTCAATAGATCTTTCTTCCAAGTACTTTCCTATTCTGTTCTTGGACATAAGTAAGCTTTATGCATTGTAATGTCTTTTGTCAAGGAGTCCATTGGATGGAGAACCACTTTCTTGTTTGCTGTTGAATCTGACTTTTGTGGGTTTCGTTTGATGGCCCATAGCTCTTGTTTTGGAAGAGAACATGAACAACTGGTTCACTGTCTCCATGCTGCTTGTGGTTTTTCTAGATAATTTCCATTCCTAGAATGGTTTGGGTTGGAAGATACCTTTAAAGGTGATCTAGTCCAACCCCCTTGCAATGAGAAGGGGCATCTTCAACTAAATCAGGTTGCTCAGAGCCTCATCCAACCTGACCTTGAATGTTTCTAGGGATGGGGCATCTACCACTTCTCTAGGCAACCTGTTCCAGCATTTCACCACCCTCATCATAAGAAATTTCTTCCTTGCATCTCATCTGAGTCTACCCTCTTTTTAGTTTAACTATTAGCCCTTGTCCTATCATTGCAGGCCCTGCTAAAAGGTCTGTCCCAAAGAAAAGCAGAAAGAAGCATTTCAGCCCTTAACTGATGTTGTGATAAAAATAAGTCCGAGTAATTTATGTTTTCATTTGAATACACAGAAATTGGTCCTTCACGGCTGGGATGGAAATTTTTGTATTTCAGATACATCTGTAAAACTCCTTCCTTCATTGAGGATAATAACATTTTTTTTTCAGAACCTTTTATTTTGATTTGAAAACATTGCTCTCATACAATTCTAGTATGTTATCATAATGTCCTTTTATTCTTCTTTTGTCACCAGCTTTAGGCAATGATCCACTTAAGCACTTGTGAACAGTGTTACATCCATCCATATTCTGATAACCATTTTACACTGTTAAAGATTTCATTTTGTCCAGACTTTAAAAAGAAGCCAGTCCTTGTACAGTGGCAGATCAGTAGCTGTTCTGTTGTCTAAAAGTAGGCATCGGATTGGGCATCGGATTCCCCTTCCTTTTTTTTTTTTTTTTTTTCTTTCTGTACTCTAAGTCACATTTTGTGTTTATAAAATATTGTTTTTCTTAAATATCCAGTGAGGCCATCAGAGCTGTGTGTCTTCATCTTCTGGACAACCTAGAGCCAAATCCTGAGATTAGTGCCTAAAATAGGCCTTTGTCATGTTTTCTTTTCCTTCTGTGCTCAACTTTTCTGACTTCAAAGAAGTGGAAAGAAGAGTTCAAGATTTTAAAAAAAAAAGCTTGCCTACCTGTCCATGTATTTAGGTATCAATTAAAGCTAGAGGTGGTTTTTTTGGTACTTGTATTTGTGATTCCAAGCTACCAGATTTGTTTCCTTTAAGCTCATTTCTTGGTTTTCCAAGAAGGAAACTTGCAGGCTTCCTTCTGTTACATCAGGATTCCTTCTTCTGTTGAAATTTTCCTTCCCTTACCTCTTAGCTGTCCTTTAAATCCATGCAGCTCCTTTCTGGCTCATAGAAGAGATGCAAAAGAACATGGAACAAAACCTTATTCAGTAACTTCTGGGATTTCATTTTATTAACAGAAATCTACCATGAGTTGATTGGGAATTTGGCTGTATACATATTTGGACATTCATATGAGGAAAGATGTCATTTAAGTCGTGCAAATACTTAAGGATTGCTTGAGAAGGCAAGGATGACTTGGCCTATCTTATATGTATGTGATTTTTTCATATGTGTTATTAAGAAATAGTGCAGGATGTGTGTGCTGGCCTCACCCCTAAACGTTTGTCTAAAAAGAAAGAAAATATTGACATTTTTGTAGAAGTTTAAATGATAAAATTTGAAATAAAGACTTAAAAAAAATCTGTAATTCTGGAGAAAGTATTGTCTACAAAGACTTTCTACTCTTAAGTCATATTTTGGATATGTGATGCTTTCTATCTCAAGAACAGATCTCTTATCAGGTATTTCCAAAATACTTTTTGTTGGTACTCTTTTACTATCATTGTTAACATTTGCTTCTCTCCTCTTCCCCTAATCTGAACTTGTTTTGGCCAAGACTGCTTACTAAAGAAACTTAGGTTAATTTTTTAAATTATCCACTCAAGCTCTGCATATTTTCTTGTGCCTGGAATCTAGTATGTGTCAAAAAATAAACACTTTATTTTATTATGCAGTATTTCTCTTTATATTAATAACCCGCAAGTTGTAGAAAGGCTTTCTGACTGCATTTGTACTTGAGGAAGTATGATACTAGCAGTGTTGTTTTACTCATTAACAGATGAGCAATATATGACCTTGCATGCTGGAAACTCTGCATTCTTTTAAAAATAAAAGTGAAAATCTTGTAAAGAACAACACATCTTGGGTGGCATAGACTTCAATGATGGAAAAGCTGTAGCTTCTAGACTATTAGTCTGACCATTAAGTAAATCTGATATTCTTGGTGGACCTGTAATAGTAAAAAATTAGCAAAATACAGAAATTAACATTGGTCTCGTGTAGAAATAGATTTAAGCAGTCTTGTATTGACAGCAGGTTTTTCTGTTCACTTCAGTTGAAGTTTATGTAAGCAGTATGTATGTGTTAGTCTTTTTCATCCATCAAAGTTTAATGTTTCTGCTGAGAAATCTACTTAATAGAAGATTTAATGATGTCTTAGAATTTAGGTAAAGAAGAAAAGTGATCTAATGAGCACAGTAATCTGCTTTTGTGAAATTCCTCTTAATGAAAGATTTTAAAATATGATCATAATGTGGAAGATGACTAAATAAGTCTACTGTCTGCCCAGCCACTTGAAATTTGCATAAATTTTATATCTGATTAAAATGCAAGTATTTTGGTTTTCCTACTCCTCCTTTAGATATTAAACAATCAATTTCAGTTAGTGATTAGAAAAATTTGCAGTGTTTGCAGCATCATTTTTCTTCTACATTCACGTGGAATCAGAAGATAACTTTCTGCACAGCTTCAAAAAAGAAGTTGATCACTTTGTGCCTTCTTTTCATTAACTATGGAGATGCAGAGCTGTCTGCTCAATGACATGCAAGCCTGGTTTTGGAACCGAAACCTTTAATTCTTGCAGATTGTAGATCAGTGATCTAGTATCTGCTGTTATTTCAATAGGCTTGTATTTGATGACATGGGCACCTGGGCCTTGATTTTTTAACTTTTTTTTAAGTTTTTAAGAGCTGCTATATGTTTACCAAAGAGTCTTTGACACTATAATTCTGTTCCTGCAGATAAAATATATCACTTTGACATGGAAAAACTGTCTTGTAAGACTCTTCGTGGAACTAAATGGGTGTGTTTATCTGTCTGAGGCAGCTAAAGATCTGTGCAATGTATGCATATTGTCTACCTACTGATTCAATGAAAAATCTGAAACTGTTCCTTTTAGCTTATATAGCAGTACAGTACTTATGATATTTTCGAATACGCTACACTGCATAAGACTTTCTAAAAATTACTTTGTGAGATACAAAATCAGCTCTAGCTTTTAACTTTTTCCGTTTGTTATCCTAGGTTTTTGGTAGTCTGGTTCACTTTGGACCAATAGGCTATTGTGCAGTTTTTGTCTTCAGTGGAACTAATTTCATATTAGCTTTACATTTAGAAACATTGCCAACTTTGTTGCGTTATTTCAGCTCTCTAGTTCTGCAGCCTTGGAAGGGAAAGGACAATTAAAATTTACCTCTGGAAGATGGAGTCCGCACCACAATTGTACACAGATTGCAACAGCCAATGACACCACTGTTAGAGGATGGGATATACGAAGCATGAGGTAATGAGAAATTGCAATCTTGTTCTCTAAAACAGACAATCTCATTTGGAGATGGATTTTTCATAGGTCCTAACTTTTGTTTTTTAAGATCAGAAATGTGGCAAAGCTATCACTTATAAAAATAATTATTTTGCTTTCATAGCTGATATATTCACAATTTATAAAAGAGTTTCTCTGTTTTTTCCTCTCAGCTTCAATGCTGACTTGTATATTGAGTTTTACTGAACTGTGTGCTAGTCTCAGGATGATCTGTTCAATACATAGGCATTACCTGAATGAAGCTGTTCTGTAATTCGACCTGAAAATTATTTAACATCAGTCCTGACTATGCTGCAAACTGTCTTCATAGCATACTATTTAAAGGTAACTTTAATCTTTGAATGTAATTCACAGGGTAAATTCACTCTTCACTTTTCTGATTTTTAACAAATAGTATGCTATACTATATGAAAGACTGTAGCGTGCTAGTTATATGAAGCTACTGAATCTATCAAAATCACTTCCAAATCAATTAAGGCTTTGAATATACCTACTAAGGTCTTTTCCCCCCTGCTCAGTTGTGATTTTGATAAGCAAAGGAGTGATGCTGTGCACATCTGTTACCATGACTACTAAAGCCTGTGCAAGCTTTTTTAAGATACGCTTTATCCCCTTAGCACATAGTAATTTATCACTAAACCAAGAAGACTGATGTCTTGTAATAACTTGTGTTGCCTTAAAGGTGGATGACTTTAAATTTAGTTCTATGGTTCCTGCCAGCTCAGGGGTGTAGCAATAAATCCCCATGTTTGCCAGCCTTGTGTGTTTTTGCCGAAAAGGTTTGCTTAATTTAATAAACAAAAGATAAAAATAAAAATATAATAATTAAAAATCATTTCCTGTATGCTTGTCATCAGGTTTGAAAGACCTGTTCTTTGCCCTGTAAAAGGGTATATAAAAATCTAACTTCACATATAGGTGCATACTTTCATTTATGAAGACTCATTTAAGTGAACCGTAGAGAGGAAAGATAGTTCAAAGGAGGGAAGGTTTCTCTAAGTTGCTTTTTTGGTGATGTTTTTGTAATCATCCTGATTTTAACGTATAGCATGCAGGCCTTAAGATTAAAGCTTGTGTTTCTAAGTAGAAAATGTTAAATATTATGAAGTCTGCTTCATACTGTGCCTCATTAGAAAAAGCATCTCTCTCTTACATTGAATCAGTGAATACTCTGAGTAACTTTTATGAAAGATAGGTAAGCCAGATATTTACAAGAACCTCAATGAACAGAGAGCTTGGTTAACAAAAGCAAAGCCCACAATTCTAATTGCTTTAAGAGGAGCTCAGATTAGATAGTCCTTGAACCAATTTACGAGTTCCAGGCTATATGCCAAAGAGCTGTTTGCAGTGTATTTGAAAAATACATGCAAGAGTAAGTCTCATCTGCAGTAATGCCGTAATATGTCTAGAATGATGTGAATATTTGATAATGACTAGTTAGGCTAGGGGTAGGAGTTTCAAGTCAGGGCCATATAAACTGTGGCAGTATAAGAAGCGAAAAATGAGAGGTGGGGATGGAATCAAGGACAGAAAACTACTATACCAGTAAAGAATAAGAGAGGTAAGATACTGAAGAAGTAGCTAGGATAGGTACTTCTGTGGAGTGTAGTTACAATAGCTGTAAGATAGAGGGAGTGAATGATTTTGGACACAGCAAACGAAGAAGAGGGTGTGAGGGTGGAAGAGGTTGGTGGGAAGGTTGCTGGACTAGACTAGGAATCAATCTTAATCAGAGAAGAGCTTGTGAAGAAGAGGAGACAGACACTAGGCTGTATGGATTTAGAGAGAGAATTGTATCTGAAAAACACAGATTCCCAAGAATAAATTCTAAAAAATATGGAAGAATAAATATGTGAGAAGGTGAAGCTATTAGCTGGAAAAAATGATCATATGATCTGGCCTCAATCTATGATATAAGTGGGAAATTCAATGTGGGTAATGTAGGTAGGATGATAGGGTGAAAGTAAAGAATATTCATATTTGGTCAGAATAATAGTTAAGTTGGGATAAAGGCTTTCATGGTAACCACTGCTGAATAGACAGTGGACAGTGGTATCTATTTTTAAGCCCTTATGTGTATCTCCATTAGCAATGGAAGAATTTCAAGAAAGAAGTGAAAGGTGCGATAAAGGAGAAGTGTTTATTGCTGCAAGCATGCTTGAGATTTAAAAATTTTCCCATAAAGTTATTTTAAGAAATTAACAGGAAATACTGAATTGAGATCCCAGATGTAGAAAGGCATATTTAAGCTGTATCTGTAATCTCTCAAACTCTTCTCAGAGTGTTAACACTGAGTATCTCTGTATATCCTTTAACCCGAGTGACTGCCATAGCTGTCAGGATAGGGCTTAGTATAGGCCTGGTATACTTTGAACCCACCCTTATGGAGCTACTTTGCTTTGTATTAGTAGTTAGGTATTAACAGCAAGAGACTTCTCTGTCTGGTCGTGACAGGTGAACATATATACAGCACAGGAAATAAAACGTTTTGGTCAGTTTGTGTTCTCTGAAGTGAAGCCTTCTTCACATAGAAAAGAAAAAAGGTCACAAAATGTTGACAAGTTTTAGTGAGGATTGTAGGGGACCATCAGAGCTAAGCAGAACTTTGGTAGATGGTGGCTTTGAGAATGGACATAGGAACAGGTACAGCCTTTTCATAAAACTGGTAATGCGACAGCAGAAACAAACAAACAAATCTCAAGCTTAAGAGTCAAGGTAGGGAGACAAATTGATGGAAGATGATGTTTTGAATAAGGATGCTAGGTTGTTAGTAGTACTACAGATGTTTTCTGAAGTGGTCCAGATGGATGAGTATCCACATGGCTGAGTAGTTTAAGGGCCACAGATAAAGTAATGATGAAAGCCAGAGCTCAATAAGGTAAGTTCAAAATAGAGCAATTATAAAAAGCTGTGGTTCATATCTGTTGCTTCCCTTGCATCTCAGCTTTTCATATAGGGAGAGCTGGATGTCATAAATACAGAATTGGTGTAACTACTTAGGGGTGGAGTAGCTCTTATCTGAAAATATTGTGGTTTAGTAGCAGACATTTCAGAAGTTGTTAGAGAGCTGTGCTAGAATCATCTGAAGCTACTGTTTCCTTTTAGTTCCAGATGATTCTAATCCAAACAAGGAAAGAGCAAAGCTTCAGAGCAAGCTAAGAAATCTATACAAGTCCCTGTTGTTAACAGCTGGGATTTCCCTAAACTATGCACTAGCAATGGGAACTCTATGTCTGTGGGTGCTAAGGGGATTATGCAAGTTTCCAGGGAAACAGACTCCTGTCAGTGGAGTACAGTTAGCTTTTTATGGACCATTTAATTTTTTGTGTTTTGCAGACAGATATATTGCATAGAAAATGCACATGGACAGCTGGTACGAGACCTAGACTTTAATCCAAATAAGCAGTACTACCTGGCTAGCTGTGGAGATGACTGCAAGGTGAAATTCTGGGACACAAGAAATGTCACCGAACCAGTGAAGACACTAGAGGAGCATTCCCACTGGTAGAACAAATTATCTGCATGCTGTTTTGTGGGTGGATGGCTTATGTAATTTATTCAGCTAATTATTTTACTGTTTAGGAACAATGCAAACTAACTATGTTTGTGCTATTGTGAATAATAATTTTTTCACATGAAGGAAAGGTTTCAAAATGCGAATGTTCCTTGTATGATTGTAAATTAAGAGTTTATACAGTGTTAGTCTAATTGGCAAGAAACTTGTTAGCATTGCTGGGAGATAGGATGCACCTTGGAGAAGCACAGCACAGAACTTGTCTTGTAGGGGTCAGCTGGAGCAGTGGTGTGCCTTCCCAAATCGAGCCTGATCTGCTGCACAGATGTGCAGAAATACCCTTGAGCTGTTTTGGTTACAGGAGCTGCCATCTATCTTTCTGTTGTCAAATGGTGGAAATGCTCAATAATTCAGCCCCATTTTTTTCATGCTCTTCACAGCCCTTAAGCCAGAATGTGCAAGTGAGTCATTTTATTCTCTGGGATAATATTTAGAGCCTGTATCTACTGCTCTGGCCTGTGGCTGGAGCAAGGAGAGAATCTTGTCTGGCGTTTGCAGACTTCAGCGGTTAAGAAAAGATGAGCAGTTCATATTTTATAAAATTTGGGTTGGAGTAATTCCTGCAAAATAAATCTGGACCCTGAAGCTACTTTGGGAGGAATGAAGATGTCAATTAACAAAAACAGCATTTATACTTTATTTCCAGAAGATCTGAAGAAAAAGAATAAAAAAGGAACCGTAGCGCATTTAAATTTTACATATCAAGTTAATAACAAAAATCGAAGAGAAATATAATCCTACTTTTGTTTTAGGGCCTATTTTAAACTTTACTGTAAGAATGTCATGAGATTTTTGTTTAATGAGTTATTTTTAATCTGTATTTTGCTTTGGGGAAATTTTTATGTTTACAACTTAAATGTTTATGTGACTTACTAGACAATGAATTGGCATGTACCAGTCAAGGAATTATACCACTGAATGGTGTGTTTTGTTCTTTGGTTGATTTTTTTTTCCCCAAAACTTATTTGTTGAGTCTTAAAGACACCTCATAGAGAATAGATAATCTGGAAGCTTAAAAGTCAAATGAAGATGGCAAAAAACAGTCTCTGGAACAGGGCATGTCAGTTCTTTGCATACTTATAACATTCAAGTCAAAGATCATTTTTTAGTGATGTTTTTAACGAAAATCATTTAACATTGATTCACTACCTGCCAAGAATAGCCTCTTATTCTTTCTGTTTTCATTTTTTAGGGTCTGGAATGTCAGATACAATCATTCTCATGATCAGCTGATCCTTACAGGAAGCAGTGATAGCAGAGTTATCCTGTCTAATATGGTGTCAATTTCTTCTGAACCATTTGGACATATGGTAGATGATGATGAACTAAGTGACCAAGAGGACCAGCATCAAGAAGAGAAGTATGAGGTTTCCAGAGTTTTATGCAGATGATTATAGTTTGTCTTTTCATTGTAATGGTTAACATGCTATTTTTTGCTGACTAGGATTTTTATATACAGGCCTTTCAGGTAAGTAGAGCCTTGGGTGGATTACACTCTAAATCTGATTGACACGGTCACTGTACGTTCACTGGTAGGAAGGGGATGGTGATGCTAAGACTCAGTCCTGAAATCCACTGGATCAGTGAAAAGATTCACTTTAAGGGATTCACTTTAGGAAACATTTTCAGTGTAATGGTGAGATTCTGCACGGGTGGAACAAAGGAAGTATAAATACATTATTTTTTGTAAATTTAGCTCTTAATATTGCTGACTGCTCTAGAAACCAGTAACTCACTAGACCTGCTTCAAGCAAAACTGAAATTTGTTTTCGATTCTCTTGGTAGAGAATAATGCATGTTATTGCAAGCATTTGTAGACACCATTCCACTTGGGTGTGTGAAAAATCACGTATTTTGCATGTGAATTTTGAGGGAAAGGTTTTGTAGTAAAGAGTTAACTGAGATAAATATGATGTAACTTTTGGTTTCTTACCTTTGGCTGGGCATTGCAATTTATTCTGTTCTGATAATAGCATTATTGGAATAGTATTAGTGGAAGTGGGAAAGAGACTACAGTTTCCTGTGTGTATGTAGTGGGAATGTAATAATGTAAATAACATCACAAGTAAATAGTGTTTGGACAGATATTGTTTAGTAGATTATCTGAAGTTCTCAATTTCTGTTGATTGTAGACAGTGTAGTTTACCTCATTAAAACACAAGTGATTGTTTCAAGAATAGGAATTCTTGAAACCAAGAATATGCAAAGCAATACGGTAAATATAATGCATCTTTTCCTTTGGCTATGGGATGGATGTCAACCACATCACGAATGACTTGTGTAGTAATGATGTAGAGCCCTTGCCTGTTCCCAAAGGCTACAAGAGTATCAATACTGCCTTTTTGTTTAAAAATGTGCTTTTCAGCTGCTAATCTGTTCTCTGTAAAAGTAGGGAAAACATATTAGCTTTTGTAACAATTGCTTGGTACTGTGAGAGTATAATTTTTGGTGTTTGCCCCCCTTATTCCCCCACCCTGCCTTGTTCTGAGGGGAACTGGAAGAATGTTGGCAAGGTGCTCACCAACCTTGTAGTGTTGCCAGATGAATGTCTGTTTAGCTCTCAGCACACTAATGAAGCAGGACATAGCAGCTGTTGAGAATACTTCTTGTTAGTCAACTACTTGTGTCAAGTATTCAGGCTTTAGTACCTGTTTCCCTCCTGGAGACCTCTTTGAAGAGTTTGTTGCACCATTCTATGAGTAGTGTCCCTTCTGTAAAACACAGGGTTTTATTGTATGGTTTGGTGGGGGGTGTTTGCATTTGGTTTTTCACTTGGGTATGTTCTAGATTTTCAAGACAGCGTTATATTCTTATGGGGTTCATTTTTCTCCTCTTTTGGAGGACATCTGGCTTGCTATTAAATAGCACACAAATCAAAAAAGAAAATGACTTTTTCGGGATGTCTCTTGAAATACACCAGGAACAGCAGGTGTCTGTAGAGCTACTTTCTCCAGTCAGTCATCTTCAGACTGAGCGACCTAGTCTCTCTCAAAAGAAGGTTGAAATATTAAGTGGGAAGAAGGAAAAAGACTCTTTCTCATGGGCTGCCTATTTTTCATGTTTTCAGTAAAATAACTTGTAAAAATACTCCTTGGATTAAATATAACAGAGAAGAGTACGTACCAGTTGTATCCTCAAAGTTGTTTTTTCTTCTACTTAGCAAAAATCACTACATTTTTAAAATGTTGACTTGTAATACTATTCTGCACAGCTAAGTCTTCTGAGGTCTTTCAGACTCATGTTAATTTGTAATATATTTTGGAGCAAACTTTCTAATTTTTATGGCATTTCTGGACTACATGTAAAAGCAAGTAATCTGTTAGTTTGACCTTGCATTTTTCAACCATGTAGAACTGTGCATGTGTCTACCCATTCATTTAGTCTTGCCAGATTTTCTGTAGTAAATGCTACCTTTTAAGTTTCACAACTGAAAAATAATTATTTGGAGACTTATTTATTTTTGTTAAGAAAAGAAAACAGGTTCACTGAGTAATGAATAGACAACAAACCAATTGCTGTTTTCTGTTCTTACGGTGGAACTCTTCTTTGATATTTCTTCTTTGGATGTTTGTCCATGTATGTGTTGACATCTTGGGAGTATATATCCTCCCATCTTGGAGACCAGAAGACACCTGCATAATCAATGTAACCCAGACTGTTGCATGAGGATCTCTCTTGTCACAATTGAGTGACCTTCAGTTCATTTTAACTGCTGATACAGATCAGAGCATCTAGCTTGCTGTCTCTTCCCTTCTTTTTAACTGCTCTTGTTGTTGTTTCTCTCATCAGTCACAAAAATGCAAGAGCGTCCTCCCTGTATCATATCAAAGGTCTCCCTAGCCTGTATCATGTCTCTGGTAGTGGCCAAGAGGAAAGATTCTAAACAGGAAGAAGAGATTATACTTCCCCTGGGTATGCTTTTAGCCTCTGAATATTTGCAGTTCAGGGACCTTTACTGTCTTCTGAATCATCTTTGGAGTCTTCTGGTTCTTCCCCTTATGATTTTCTTTTGCCATCAGCCTTATTCTTGAGTTTATCTTTTCTCGCTAACTGTGTTTTTTGTTTGTTCCAGAACATGCTAGCTGTACATGTGAAATGTGCCTAGAAGAAATATGCTGGCTGCGTTCGTTTTTTTGCACTGAATAAGGAAAGGCTTCAGTGCTTTCTCCTTAGGAAGCCCAAAACCTCTGTCAAAAGTTGGCAGTCTAAAAGGAGAACTGAGTCGTCCACAGAGAGGAGGTATAGGCATGTGGCCAGATGAGAGCTATGGTATATTCTGGTCAAGTCCCTAGTCTGGATAATTTAATACACAGTTCAAATAGACCATTCACTGCTTTCAGAGCACCAACAAGGTGTGTGCTGCATCTACACCAGTGTTTTCATTCTTCATGACTTCTATGGCCAAAACTTCATGACAAGGTTCAAATTATAATGGAGGACTTGCATTTTAAGAGAAAAAGCCTTTTCTGTATCTATACCAATGAAAAGATGGTCATATATATGGTCAATAACATTTTGAGCTTATATATCAATCCTGGAAAGGAGGGCATCCTTAACTCTGATTTTGCAGAATGAGCTACCCTTTGCTCTTTTTGGGGTTTGCAAACTTAAGATGCCTACCGTGGCATCGTTCACTGGCAGAACTGATTACGAAGGTCAATATGCTGCCTTCTCCCTTACACTACATTTTTTGACATATGATCTATGCTTATCCTCATCTTTGTTATCTCTTGAAGATTGTACCAGAAATTCACATTAGGAAATATGTTTTTTAGTGTTTTTCCTGAAGTCTTACGTTTCCATGTTTTTCACCATAGATGTTAGCCATACTGTCCTCTGATACAAACAGAACAAGATCTAACACAAGCACTCACTTTGCATTAAAACTGAGAGATGTGAAGGATTGGTCCTTCCAGTACAGAGTATCTCATTGAGATAGTGAAGTTTTTAATGAGATCTTAAGTGTAGGAACATCTTCAGCAATCAGAATGTACCAGAGAGAAAATGACGGCTACCCTTTCTGTACAAAGATTTTCTTCAAAATTCCTTCTAAACGATGTGATGGTTCCTGCTCCTTGTGACAGAACTGTGATTTGGAGCCTTTTGCGTAGTAAATAATTTGGTTTCATGATAATACATACAAACTGTGTGATCTAACATAACACCTTTGTATGCACAGCTGTGGCTTTGAGAGTGAATTGTCACCATTGATATTTTGAAAAGTGTTTGCCAAACGTTTATGACAAGGCAGGCTTTCTGGGTATTTTCACGCAGCTGCCAGTAGTGTTCATTTTGATGATATTTTGCTTGTGGCATTTATGGCTTGGAGAAATCTGGAAATCATAGAATTATGCTATGGAATCAAGCAAGAGACTCAATTAATTAAAACAGCTTAAATAGTCTCTGTTTTGGGACATGGCAGTATTCAGGACTTTACTTGATTGGACGTGTAAGAAGCTGACCCAAATCTAGTGCAGCAACACTTTCCAATTTCTATATTACTTTGCTTTAAAAATTTATTTTCCATATTATTTCTTTCTTTAATCCTTATCAGCAGATATACCCTTCTTAATTTATTTTGCATGTTAGGACACCAATGAAACCTGTTATATTAAAATATGCATTTCCTGTTTTTAAAGATGGCATTTTTCCTGTGGAAGCAGCTCAGAAGGCTGGTTTTTGGGTAAAAATATGATAATTCTTACAATAGCATGAATGGCCAATTTTTGTATATAAAAATTTTGTTTCAGTGTAAACATCCTGGAATCCCATTTTCGGTAAGAGTGAAGAAGGAAGTAGTGTGTTTTCTAAGCTTTATCAGAAACCAAACCTTACAGTGGCTATGTTTTCTTCTGCAGTTAAAGGAAAGGGCGTGCATGGGGCTTATTCTGGAATCCAGTGGCATGCTTTTCAGGTTGCATTTTGGACACTGCAGTACGTGTTGCTACTCTATTGAATCACATCTATTTCATAGTAATTTTTAGATTAAAAAGGATTTAATTTTGACTGTGATAAGGAATTAATGATTTTTGGTGACTCTGAAAAACGTATTTTATTGGACATCATTGTGACAAAACAGAATCGCAAGCACTGCAAACTTAAGTGGTTGTTAGCATGAGAAGTAATTGGAAATAACAGCTCTCTACATGAAAACAATTATCCAGGGCTTAACAAGCTTCTCTCTCAAGTCTGTAACACAATTAACCTCAAAGTTATCTAGTAAAATGAAAGCTCTTCTTCTTTCATAGGAGAATCTGGTAGGGGTCATGCTATGTGAATAAGAGTACAAAGGGAAGGCAGTCCAGTTTCAGCTCTGTGTGGCACAGGTCTTAAATTTAGGCAGGATGTAGGTAGAGGTTACGCAGTTCTTACTGTAAGTTCTTGATGGCGTAAGAATTTGATGCATTGTCAGTTGATGCAATGCAAGAACATAGGTAAGAAAAGAAAATGTATTTTAGTCTGGCCAGAAAGTCTTTAAAATAATATAGGAAAATTAGAAACTAAAGGCACTTTTTAAGTGGTAGGGAGATTTAGGGGGAAAAAACAACAACAACAAAGAAACCAAACCAAACCAGAACAACAAAAAAAACCCAACCCAACAAAAACGACAAAACTCACTGAGCTTGCCAAGCATAGCAAGTGATTACCAAGCATGTATGCTTATCAAATATGCTGTAGTCAGGCTGCTCTATCAAGGGATCAATAGGCCAAGCACCTACACCTGTGGTATACTAAACTAGCTATGGCATAGCAACTACATTTTTACACCAATAACCTGCAGTTTTGATGTAAAAACAGAAATATCTGTGTTTTTGCAACAACCTGAATTATGAATATTAAAGTAGCATAGAAGAAAGCTTACTTCATATCCACCTCTGTACAGGTACTCTTCCTGTTCCTGAACTTCTCTAACTGGGAAGAAACTTAAGGTCCTGAACCATCCTCCCTGTTCCAAAATCTACCAAAGATCTGCTGACTGTTCCAGTATGCAGTCCTCTTTCAATGCTCTCCTCTTCTGTGACTGGTGTATGCATCTAACCTAAGGAGGCAAATAACCTGGTATTGTCATCGGGAGTTTGAAAATGAAATGGAAAGCTTCTGATATAAGAGTAATGCCCATGAAAGTATAGCAGTATTCTTTTAATAATTGCTACATTATCAATAGAGTATTAGAAAAAATACACTCCTCAGTGCTATGGTATGGTAAGGAGAAATAAAATTGTAGTAAGTGATAAAACCAGAAGGATAATTAAAACACCTAACTAGACAAAACCATCTGTGTTCCACTAGTATGTGCTGTGACCAAAATTATCTTCTTTCTTAGACTCTGTTTATATATTTTTTAATATATTTTTATATTTAAAATGTATTTGTTGCCTTGCTTAAATAAATTTCTTTATCTTAGCTATTAAGCCTATAACTTCTTACATTAACCAAATTACCTTTAATATCTGGGGAGTTAGGAGAGTCTGACCTAATTCTTTAATTAAAAAAAAGTGTAAAAGCTGTGTAAAATTTCATTGAGAGTATGTAGTTTGTTGTGGCGCTCAGAAACTGAACAATTGTAACTATCCTGGATTCATATAGACTCAAAAATAGAATCTTCAGACTATTCTTGAATTACCAAAAAAGCACACACATAGCCAAAGCACAGGCAAATCTGAGCCGTTTTCTTGTAAGTTTCTTAGCTATGGGGTAAAGTGATCTGTCTCCAAGAGATTCCTGTTTTGAGAAAAAAAACAACTCAATCGTGCTCTTTCTGTTCGTGGTTTGTTTTTTTTTTACTTACTTTAAACAAACTTTCACATATGTAAAATAAATTCTGCTCTTTATTCCACTAGCAGAATCCTTCTGGGCTCATTATCCATTCGACAGTTTAAAGGGTAGTCTGTTTTCATTGATAGTGTTTCTAAAGGATGCTCATGGACAGGTTTTTTTTTTTTTGATCTCTATTGTTTCTGAGACAGATCATTCTGAGATTATTGTTATCTTGTATGGTGTCTAGATCTTTTGCACCAAGTGATCACTTCTATAAGGATTTTCTCAGATTCTCAATAAGCGTCTCAAGGCTATGCCATTCTTATGCAGAAGTAGTCTGTGCATAATATCATAGACCTATGCTATTTAAAACAAAGAAACCCACTAAAAACTGAACTCATGTGGCCTGAAGAACTACACAGAATAGCATGCTTTCTTTTTCTGGCAAGGCATAAAATTACTTTCATGCCCAAGAAGTTCAGTGTAAAGACAATAGAAAAAGACAGTTAAAAATTGTTGTTATAAATGGAAATGCCAAACAGAAGTTCATCTACATGCTTCTTTCATGAACACTCATTCCCCTATGACTTTTGTAAATTAAATTAGATGAACTGTGTTATTTAAATGAAACACTGAAACAAGTCTGAGCATGCAGAAAATAGTATAATCTAGCAGCTTATTTGTCCTTGTTTATCCAACCTTTGGTTAACTGAGACTCTTGGTTAACTGAAAGTCGGTCATGTCCCCTGACAGCCATGTGCACTGTGCATTACTCCCCTGCTTATCTGGAAAGACATTTGAAACCTTCAGAATAATGGAGTTGTGGGTAAGTGGGTGAGCACTGCGTGAAGCACATTGCTGTCTGGGGACATGACCAACTTTCACTTAACCAGGCATGTCAGCTAACAGGAAGTTAGAGAAACACATTGCAGGAGGTGAAGTGTCTGTGTGTGCGTGTTTATTAGCTCTCTGCTGTTAGATGGTTTGTATCAAAGTGCATATTCAGGAGAACTACAAAACAAGCCTGCTTTTTGCAATTAACCAGAGACTGCATGTTGTTTGTGCTATGACCTTTTTTGTTAGTTGACCTTAAACTTTGCGTAAATAAATTATAAAAGTCCTTGAAATGAAATATCTGAAGCTGTTCTGCAGTATCAGACTGCTTTTAGTTTGTTCATTAAATTCAATTGAATTTTAATTGCGATGTTAGATGCACAGCTGGTTAGGCTGACTAGGTGGAGCAGCCATATCCTGCAAGCGATTCAAATGTGATACTGTGTACGCTTTGTGATGGTAGAGACGCATGCTTTCAGAGAGCAGTGGTAAAGGGCAAAGACAGCCAATAACACCACCTCATTTCTGTGGCAGCAGCATCTGTTCAAATGATTGAGTGGTATTAACAGGGCTTTTTGGCTTTGCTCTCTGTTAGGAGGATTGCAGCTAAAATATAAGGCTGTTTCTGGGAGGCAGGGGGATGCTTCTGAAAGGCTGACTGATTCCTGTCAGACAGAGGTGATCCTCTGTGGGTGAAAGAGCTCTAAGGTCATCCTCTGAAAACTCACCTACCCTGTAGCTACAGAATAATGTGCCGTGGTTTTGTTCTGAGAGGAGGGGCTGGCTCTGTGAGTGGAGGGAAGAAGGGCTGTTCTCAGCTAGCAGAGCACAATTGATGACTCTTGGTGTAGTTTGGACTTTGAATCTGGTTTTATGTGTTTGCAGTGCAAAACAATATCTGTCTGTCTCTCATGATGTAGGTAACCAGGAGCTTGGGTGTTGCCGTGAGAAGTGAGGTATCCAATAATAAATGAGAGTCCAATGTTGGTATAACTCTAGGAATGGGACATAAAAATTAAAGTGTTGAGAGTGGTGCCTCCATCTCCTTTCCATTACTATGGAGAGATTAGGTCCAGAAAGGCAGCTTAGGAGAGACTGAGATATTAAGCGCTACAACTTCTTACCTACCTACACATCTCTAATATGATAATATATTATTTTATGAATTCAGTTAACAATGAAGGGGCGAGCGTGGTGAGAGAAAAGGTTTTGATAAAAATGTGCCTTTTAGTGCATTTAGTTTGTACCCTGTACTATAAATTGCTTTAGAGAGAGAGGGATGCTTAGTGTAGGTTCTGAGAGACTTGGAAATGCAATGAAGTTGGTATTAAGAGGTACTTTGTCCTTGGAAATGGTATCTTTAACATTGACTTGACTCTGCTGTGTTATCTTAAACATAGGTACATGCATATATCCGGTATAAAATATTTCCTTAGCCTGCTACTGCATTTTTATACTTTAAATGGGAGGTAGCATATCTAGATGTTGGTAACACTTAATATTGCCTTCTAAATCAAGTGTGTTCACAGATCCTTACTATTTTCTTTCTTTTTTTCCTTTTTTTCTTCAATTTTAGGGTTAAAGAGCCCCTTCAGGACAGTGTAATAGCTACCTATGAAGAACATGAAGATAGTGTATATGCGGTTGAATGGTCCTCAGCAGACCCTTGGCTATTTGCCTCTTTAAGTTATGATGGGAGACTTGTTATTAACAGGGTTCCCAGAGCTCTTAAATATCATATACTCTTATAATTTGTTTGGGTTATGGTGGAGTTGTTATTTTGATGTATGCAATTGGTGGGTATTAAAGTTTTTTTCAGAATCTATTTTTATTAAGTATAACTGTTAAAATTTTGTTAAGAATATCAGTATTAATATAGACACTTTTAGTTTGTCTCTTGTATTTGCTTTGGAAAACTATGATTCGTTTTCTGAAGGCTGTGCCAGTTAGATTTTCTTTTTTTTTTT